TGAAACTGATACTTCTTCCATCATCTTCTTCCAGTCCTAATGCTGTCTTTATTTGGATCTCAAAATGACAAACTTCCACCTCACATAATTGCTTCTTCTTCCCTCTATTTCCCCAGTTCTTTTTTGCATGTAAAGCATAATCCAATTTAACTCCGGCCCTCTGATCTAACTCATCCCCCTCTCCTCTTTTCAATACCCCACCATGGGTCCTAGCCTTTCACCTGGGTTTCTCAATGGAAAATGGCAGGAAGAAAATTTCATTACGGTTGTAGCCCTATTTACTTAGAAGTCCTAATGGAATTGGCAAGTCCCATTTGCCAGATCAGCCTCATTAGGCCACATCTATCAGAACTGATTTAAATGCATTAGGGATAAACTGGTGTCTTTACAAAATCTCCCTAAAAACAGCCAGTTCCCATTAATCATTAACTGGTGTCAACTGGTTTCAGACCGAAGAGTCAAAGAGCAGTCTTTTATAGTGAGGTCAGAGGACAAATAATGATAGCTAACAATTATAGAACGATGCACCAGAACAACTGACTCATTCACTAAGATCCTCCCTGTTCCCCCTTAAAATGATTGCAGATGCTTTTCAGGCTCTTATTCCTGACGACTGGTGAGATCGGTCAATGAATGCAAATTATTGATTGGAAAATACAGCTGCTGATTCACTGCTATTCTGTCAGGAGTTCAGAGAAGGGAAAAGTAAAACCTGAATTTAGCTTCACTAAAGGTGGCCATTCAACCATTGCCCTTGGATTGACTTTTAGAATCTTACAATTCATGCAGTGCAGAAAGAGGCCATTTGGCCCATCCAGACTGCACTGACTCTCTGAAGAGCATCCCACCCCATCATTTCCCATGGCTAATCCACCTCGCCTGCAAATCCCTGGACACCATGGGGCAATTTAGCAAGACCAATCCACCCTAACCTGCACATCTTTGGACTGTGGGAGGAAACCAGGCTGCCTGGAAGAAACCCACGCAGACAAGGGGGAAGAGAGTGCAAACTCCACACAGTCACCTGAGGGTGGAATCAAACCTGGGTCCCTTGTGCTGTGTGGCAGCAGTGCTAACCACCGCGCCACCCGTACTTAGTGTCAATATTGTCTTATAACTTCACAATGCCAAGTATTTCAACTGACGCAGGTTATTATGCCAGTGTCACGTTCCTTTCTCCAAACCCTTCTACCAACCGGCAAAACGTGGCATCAGCATGTAACCAAATAATGGCTAACTTGTCAGGCCCGGACCAAAATAAAAACTGGGAAGCGCACAAAACAAGATTATATGGACTGTTATTGCTAAGACGGAAGTACAAAAAGAGGGAAACAATGCTATTGAGAGTAATTGAGGAATAGATCAAAGTTAATGAGTGAATAAACCTAATTATGATTATGCTCAAAATTAAGGTTTTTGATTAATAGAGCACTGGCAGGAGGTTTGACAGGGGAAGGACACAGGTTTAAGATAATTGATAAAGATCAGAGGGGAAATTAGGAGAAATTATTTAATGAAGTGACTTGTAATGATCTGGAATTCAACGTCTGCAAGGCGGACTCTAGATTTGATTGTAACTTTCAAAGGGGTATTGCATATCTGCTTGAAGAGAATTGTAAGAGTGTGGAGGCAATGGAGACTTCTTTCAAACAGTGGAAAAGTCCTTACCCACTGTTGTAAGATATTGGGTAGAAGTTAGTCAAGAGGAGTGGGGTCTTGCCTAGCTGGATGGAAAGCCAGTTAGAGCCCAAAATCATTTCTACTTTGGAATGGCCCATTGAATACAGCACCAGTCGGGGGAGCAGTGGACCTTTGCTAAGTTCAATGAGTCTAGAAGAAGGGAGGAGATGGATATCATACCTGCTGGGAACCACTGAACAGAGGTCAGTTCATTGTTCAGCAGCACCATTGGGCTTGGTGGTGATATGACGGTGGATTGGTTTCTGCACCTACCCTGAACCCCACCATCAATGAAGGACCCAGGCGATGGTTAAGTGTTGGCAGGAATGGGACCATGCAGCAAGGGCAAGGGAGTGGCTACCAGTTGGCTGCCAATTCCCATTGGGATGGGTTGAGGTATGAATTAGGAACTAATGTTTAATGCTGGAACCAGACACAGGAGGGCAGGGCATAGAGGAGGATGCAGATCTCTAAGTAAACTGCAATTAGATCACAGGAAATCAGGTGATGAGGGGGAGGGAGACGATGAAGAAAATATAGACAGGGAAAGGCAGCACTAACCCCTGTTATGTTGCAAATTGTTGAGATTGTAATTAAACCGCAGCCAGCGTGCAGGCAAAGTGGCCTTGGATGGATAAAATGATTAATAGTGATATAAGAAGAGTAACATTACAAAGGTCTGAACAAGCTTTTCCAAACTTTCAGGAACAACCAGAATAGTGTGAAGAACCAGGAACAACAACATGTATTTAAACTCAAAGGTAAAGTTGTCCTAGTCTCAGAGGACCATAGGGATGCTATCTCAGAAGGGAGGGATGACTGGTAGTGAGTTTAACCTGAGGGTCACTACACCTCAGGCAAGGGGAGAGGTTGAGAAGATAGGACCTTCATGGTGACCTCAGTCTGAGCTGGAATTCAATCCCTTTAAGAACGTAAGATAACGTTGCAGGGCATTTCTCAACAGTGTTGTAGGATAGACTTGACACCAAGCCACATGTGAAGGTGAATGGCCAAATAAAATTGGTTCCTTTTTTTTGGAAGGTTCAAAAACCTGACATCTCCAGTTTAAAGTGAATGGCAAAATAAAACAAAAGTGATAAGAGGAGAAAATGCTTTATTCAGCCATTGGGATGTATGAGGAATGTGTTGCCTGAGGATGTGGTGGAGTCTGATTCCTCATGGCATTTAAAAAGGGATTGGGCAAGCACCTGAAGAGGCTACAAGAAAGCCTGGAGCAGTGGGACTAGTAGTTGAATGATCACCTTCTGTGCTGTAGTCTATGATATTACACCTTAAGTAATGGGGGTGCAACAAGTGTAGGGCTATAGCAGACAATTGGTGATGATTGGACATCTTACATTTCATTTCATTTCTGGAGAGGAAATTTGGGCAAGGTGTCCATTGTCTGCTATTGCTTGATTATGGAAATAACAGAATAATTTGGTAATTATATCATTTTAAAATGAAATGGGAACAATCCTCAACCTGCCAAGTTTATAGCCAGATGGAGAAGTCAGGAAAATTATTGTGAGATGCAAGGAGTTTAATTTTGTTCTGAAATGTTCACTCTAACATCCCAAAATGTGATTTGTACCACTTGGAAGGGCTGACCAGCAGATGAATGGTGGACCACTACCTGCAAGTTCCCCACAATGCCACACACCATCCCGGTATTGAGCTACATCAATGTCCTTTCACTGCTCCAGGTTAAAATCCTGGATCTTCCTCTTTAGGTATACTTAACCTCTCCAACATGGACTATCAAGCAGGCAGCCCACCACTACTCTCTCAAGGACAATTAGGGATGGACAATAAGTATGGGTCTCACTAGTGAAGCCCATCTCTCATTGGCCTCTTGTACCATGGGTTAAACCAGCTGGATTAGGTTTCTAACCACTGACCACTTGGGGCTTCTCAGCCCACCGGTAGATACAGCTCCCAAAACCTCTCCTGCCAGTGGGAAAATGACACCATGGGGTAAAGGGGTAGGCAGTGGGCACAGAGCTCATTGTATGGGGCAGCTAATGTTACAGGCACACAACCTGCCAACTCACCCTCGGGACCAGTGACATCTAGCTCAACGAAACTAAATGTGAATTTATTAATTCACTTCTTGTGTAAAAGATTTGAGTGACTTCTATGGCAGAATGACCATTATCCGCCATCAGCAGTGCGAACTGAATGTGGACATTTTGTTATCTAGCCTTTAAACAGCAGCAGAATGGACCTGAGGAATGAATGGAAATGCTTTATTTCCTTGTACAGTTTATGGAAAAATACACAATCGTCCCAGTGATGGTGCATAAAGGAGCTGAACTAGAAGGTGGCTTTGAATTGCCTGGACCACTTGCAATCTTGAAATGTAAAGTTCTACACTCCATGTCTTTGCATTTTGTTTCGTGAGACTAACCGAACCATCTCATTATCAAGTGTACAGAACACCCTGACGTCCTGGCCTTGAGCCTCACAATGTCGATAGCAGCACACTCACCTCTGGGTCACACAATTATAGCTTGTTACATACTCCACAACCTGAGTATGTAAGTAGTCTGGGCTAACACTCCAGCACAATGAGTGAGTGTTGCACCAGTAGAGATGCTGTCTTTTGCAGGACCAAAGTTCCATCTGCTTTCCTGGGTTGATTCAAAAGATACTGTGAAATTATTTGCAAGAGGAACAGGAGTTCTCATGTCTAGACCAGTTATCACAAAGAAAATTTACCTTGTCTATGACATAGAACCCCTACAGTGTGGAAGCAGGCCGCTCGGCCCATCAAGTCCACACTGACCCTCCAAAGAGTATCCCACCCTGCACTTCCCACAGCTAATCCACCTAACCTACACAACCCTGGATAATATGGGGCAATTTAGCATGGCCAATCCACCTAACCTGCACATCTTTAGACTGTGGGAGGAAACCAGAACACCCAGAGGAAATCCACACAGGCATGGGGAGAATGTGCAAACTCCACACAGCAGTTGCCCAATGGTAGAATCAAATCTGGAGCTGTGAGGCAGCAATGCTAACCACTCAGCCACTGTGCCGCTCAATGGTGCTGCTCAACTTGCTGCGTGCAAATTGGCTGCTATATTTCTTTCAGTGACTACCTTGCAAAAAGTACATAATTGGGGTGTGAAGTGTTTCAGAATATCTTGTAATCATGAAAGGTGCCAGATAGATGGAAATCTATCTTTCATGTCAAATAAGATGCTAGGATTGAGAGTTAAATACTGTGTGTATTTTACAACGCTAACAAAATTTACAAAACGCAAAAGCTTTCTGCAAGATGAGTTTGGATAAAAAAACACATCATGTCTGTGTCTGTTATGAAATGGTTTAATGTATTTTTTTAAAAAAAGTAACTTCACAAATGAAAATCATAATGGAATATCTGAACTGGTGTTAAGTACATTCTTGTTCCTGGTCCACTGATTACCAGGGCAACCTTCAGCTGAAGCTAAATATAATTTGCAGCATTTTTTTAAAATGTTGTTTTAAAGAAAGCCACGTCAAGATTAAAAAGAAAAATGCATCAAGATTTTTTTTGCAATTTGCATATACTGGATTTGCAGCATCTAACAATTAGATGCAGATTATATTCTTTTCACGAGAAAGATATAGATAGCCTTTATACTTGACAATAAATTATTTTTATACGTTTTTAAAAACAAAAAATCAGGAAAAAAATGTGAAACATTGAACATATATATTTTTCAGAGGATATTTTACAAATAACATGAAACTAAATTCACTGAATGTCAGAAAGCTGTGATATAAATAATAAAAGTACTGCCATGAAATTCATTGTAGATATTGGAGAGTTTTCACAGGAATGCTCATTAATAATAACAGTTACAGTTCACAAAGATCGCCAATACCAAAGCTAATTGCTCTGGTTTCATACATATTTTTGTCTCTCTCTCTCTCACTGCCCACACACACACATACACACACACACACACACACACAAATAAATGGTGGTGAGAACCAAAAGGAAATGCAGACAAACTGATGCAGATATAAAGCGTTGTCTGGTTTGGTTGCAAAGTCTCGCTTTACTTTTGTAACTTTTAACTACAGCAGATTTACGATTTGCGAATAAACCTGCTGGATGGGACCAATCGACAGTAACAAGATGCAATTGGATTCAGGATACATTTTCTTTCTAAGTCTGCTTCTATTTCCCTCCCTCCACCCATTTTCACCCCCACCCACACCCACCCCCCGCCCTAGAACCTTCCTTTAATTCCATCTCTGCTTTTAGTTTTATGTCTGACTGGTTGTTTTAAAGAGGCCTGTTACCAGTGTCTACTTCAAAATAGTCTATCTGTGTAAAAACTAGCTGTTAAATAGAGTTTGTCCACAGTATCAGCACTTTTATATATTCTAGTGCCCTAACATCAATGATGACTGCTCAGTATGTGTGCCTCTAAATGATATAGAATGTAAGTAACCAGCGGATACAACATTTTCTGAATATTATATTCCTTTAAGTAAATCAGTTATTAAGTAGTATTGGAATACTGCTGAAAACTGTAGGGGTGCAGTCAAAAGGTGTAAAGACTGTTTGTCCGAACCACCAGCTGATTACTGCTCATTGTTTACATCTCATGCACATTTAAAAAGGTCAATTATAACATCACATGCATGTTCTCCTTGTAGATTAGGACATATACCATGCTCACTATATGCCATAACAGTTAATGCTTATTGCAATCATTCATAGCTCAGCGGTGCTTCAACGTTAGGAGATTGCAAACAGCGTATAACATGTGATGAGAAGCACCTCAACAAAACTCTCAACTAATTTCACTGCAGATTGTCTCCCCTCCCTGTCCACCCCTGCCCAAAAGATAAAATTGGTTTTTGAATGTACCCCTACTGCTTTCAGTTTGTGAAAATTACTCTTGTACAAGATCTCAAGTGATGGATTTAAAGCTCGTTTCATGTCAGCAAAGGGAGGTGGAGGAATGGGTTCGGTAATAAACAAAAGGAAAACCGTTTTGATCTCTCCAAAGAGTGTCAGAATCTGTGAAGACACTTGCTTGACTGCAATGGTCCATTTTCTCTCAATTGTTGGGCATTTGTGTTTGCTCAGTTTGGAGTTTAGGACAAATTAAAAGTGAGAGAATCCGATTTCCCTGTATCAGTTGTCCATCTTAACTGATTTCTGACACCTCTTTCCTTGCTCTGACCCTTCAAGTATCAAACAAATAGTTTCTTTGCCACTTGCAAACATATCAAATGTTTCTACTGAAGCTGAAGGTTCTACTGAATTATTATTGACATGACCAGATTTATTGGAAGCAGGGACAGGGAATGAAAAGAATGTTAAGTCTCACCAAGTGATCTTTAAATAGCTGTCAGATACTTCCAACCTTCTCCCTACAAAACTGCAGAAATTCCATTGGAGTTATGAGAGTGTGAACATTGTAGAATCCTTCTTCTGTATTAGTAACATGCCCGAAATGAATTTTAAAACACACAGCACTAAAAGCAATGAAAGCACAGAGTTGACACTTTGAAGTGAAAACGCACAAGTTTCTGACGCATTTCGTTGTGGTGACAGAAATGAACTAATGCTGATTATAAACATTTTATCACAATTTTAAATAATTCAAATTTTCAGTAAGTTCAAAGGACTGGTTTGATCACCTTTTAAGCCATATAACCCCCTCTGGATCTCCTCAGTTTGAACAGTAGAAATTGTGATCTCTGAAGACGAGGGTTATGGATTAAGAGTTCAGGTGGCATTCTGATGTCTTTATTGCAAGGGAGGAACTGGACTTATTGCAGCTATATTGACTGGATTGATAATGAAGTACACAATTAAACAGAAAAAAACTTTATTTGAAAGAGGCTTTTAATGCGTCTGTTTCACAAACACAGGAAGATATCAGAAACGTTGTCCTTTTGCTGAATGCAGGTTCAATGCTATATATTTTGACCATATGTGAATTGTAATCTGCATCTCCAGCTGCTTTTAATTGATATTACCCCAAAAGATGAATGTTGCCGCAGCCCATTATATTTTCAATATATGCATCTGTTAAATTAAGGTAAAGGTTATATGACACAGAGGCCTGCTTTCACTGCAGCCGATGGCAATAAGTACGAAGATGGTGACAATATATACATACTGTTCCAAACCGTCACAAACTATTACAGAATCCTAACATAGGGAACAACAGAATTCTTCCATCTCTTGGTCTATTTACGTTTGCCTGCCATCAGCCAGGATCTTATGTCCTGCACAGGGAAAATACTGAGTCAGGTCAAGTAGCTCACTTCTTCACCTTTCCATGTCAAGATCAGTCAACATACTTTCAAGCAGCAACCTTTTTAATCGTGCAGAGATTTGACCCAAAACCTCTTCCAAGTGATGTAGAAAGATTCAGATGAAAGCTTTAACTGAGTCTAGTGCCTGATTGCTAGTTCAAAGGGGGATATTATGATGGCTTTCCAAAGAGCTGCAGTATTTACAGAATATAACATGGCCCTACAAAAGCACCAAGGAAAGAGGAACTGCTTTTTTAAAGCAGGCAGTTTCACTGAAATAATTTAATCTAACTCAGTGAACAACTTTACTTTTCAACCACCCAAACGTAACATACTGCTTTCAAAGAATCCTCACCTTCAAAATCAGCTTTGCGTGAACTCGTGACATGTTTCTAATGGTTTCTCTCGATATCAACAGCCACAAGACTCTAGTGTTTTCTTGTTAAGTCCTACTTTTGATCTCTTTTTACAGGAAGGTTTGTTTAATCTTATAAACCATCAAGCCTCGTGGAAACCACAGGAGTGAAACATTACTGAACGAGCAGATCACAGTGAGACACCCTCTTCATTCCCTCCTCTGTGTGTGGGTCTCTTTCCCCCCGACCTCCAGATGTCAACAACTGACTCAGACTTCTGTCCCAGTCCAAATTCCACCATCAAGGAAATTAAAAAATCCCTCATATCACAGACATTCCTTTTCTCATCAGGTTTGTTAGCAGGTAGCATGAAATGGCAACAGATGTAGTAATTCCACTTTCAGCATAAAGTAACATAAAGGCACCACTGATATCTTTCTGTGTTGAAATACTGTAAAAACGCTACATATGGCACATTAGTATTGTGAATGCTAACTTTCTTTTTACATATATATATTTAATCTATAAAAACTTGTAGACTTTCTACTAGCTGCAAGGTTCTTCTGCTAAAATAAAATAAAATGTTTAATTTAAAGTAAAGTATCCGGAGTACTTCATTATATAAAATAAAGTTTTACTGGTGCATTTATGTGTTTTTTTAGACAGCAATTGGGTCCTGATTAGCAATTACATTGGACAGCCTGACTTGCAACTCTTCCTGTGTAGAGTACCTATTGGTGGAGTTAGTCCTGCTTTCAGCCAATCGGTATGCGGGGGCTGATTCTACGCTCGTCGACATGGGGTTCTGTATGCTCAGAAAGGGCGTCTCCTCGCCTATTCGTTCGTCTTCCGTTTCACTGTCAGAGCTACTGCTCTCCGAGATTGGATTGCTCTCAGTCTCCATTCTCTGTGAAATGTGGCCATTAGCCTTTGTTCTTTTCCCTCTCCTGTTGCCGGCCCCTTTCTTGGGGGACTCGAGCGTCGGCTCGTACTCTTGGGTGGTTTCGTACTCGTCATCCTCGACCACCCGTAGTGGGCTGGCTGGGATGCTGCCCCTGTCCTGGGCAGAGTCGTGGTACTGCTTGTATGGGTCTTGCCTCTTCTCCCGCTGCCGAGGCGGGGTCACCAGGAGCAGAGGCCTCTCCTCCTCAATTAAAGGGCTAATGGTCACTGATGGCATGGATATAGTCAGGCTAGACACTGGCGGTGATAGCTCGCAGTCGGGTGACTTTTGGGACACCGGTGTTCGGAAGTCCACTGGAGACATTCTGGCTGGAGTGGTCATGGCAGAGACAAACCTGAAATATCATGAACAGCACCAATGAAGACGACAACCAAAAACACAAGACCTAATAGACAGACTCCTCTGCTCCTTGATAAGAGATAGGTACCCACTTCAACGGGAAGCCGGAACCACAGAGTCATAGGGCTGGATTTACACTCCACCCTCTCCAATTTGCTGTGTTTTTGATGGGGTTGGGAGGGCGTAATCATCTAAAATACAGTTTTGGCCACTGCCTTTCTGTCCACTCCATCCCAGTCCCCATAAGACAGATAAACATCCACTTGCACATCCGCCCTTATACCCCTACACATAGAGGAGCTTAGATAAGCTAAGTATTACCCATTAAAGCCAGCTCCACTGCCTCCATGGTGACATGGAGAGGGGGTGGGGGCTTGTCTTTTCCCCCACCAAAATCGAAAGGGTAGAGAAACATCGAGGAAAGATGTGATATCACGGACATCCAAGTCACCCTCTCCCCACGACTGCAACCTCCTTTTGAGCCCCAAAAACCTACCCTTCCCCCCACTCCATTCCGTAAATGGTGCCTGATACCCCCTCACCCCGGTGGCGCAGGACTGACCCGGTTCCGTCACCCCTCAGGGACAGCTGCTGTTCCGACTGCGCCCCCTCCAACCCCTGGCACTGCTGAGGCCACCGGCCAGTCTGAGTGGCCAGCAAGTCACAAGGGCAGGATCTCTTTCTACTGAAGGTTGGAAGAATCAAGAGTTATGGGAAAGACCAGGAAAGTGGACGTGAGGAATATTGGATCAGCCACATTCCTATTGAATGGCAGGGCAGGCTCGAGGGGCCAAACGGCCTACTCCTGTTTCTTATCACCTTAAGCACCACCCTCTGCTTGTCAAGGTTGTCCACAGCAACTCTCACTGTGGGACAGCCTTTTTTAAACTAACTGCTCTTAAAGAGACAGGGCAGCTGTAAGCCCAGCCTCCCCCAACCTGTAAAATTGAAATTATAGGGTCATTCAAACAGAAGCAAGTTCGAGTCCATGTACCAGGTCATTACCACTCACTGTGTAAAACATTCAACCTCACAATCCTCCTGTGTCCCTTGCCCAGAGCTTGAATCTGTATTCACTAAGTCTTCAGCATCACCTAATGGAAACAGCATTTCTTCTAAACTTGACATAATCTTGTCAAACTTGACCAAATTTCCCTCTGATCTTCTTTCCTCAAAGGACAACTCCAGCCGCACCCTAACGTAGCTAAAACTCTCATCCTTGGAACCACTCTGGTAAATCTCCTCTCTACAATCTCAAAGACTCTGACATGCTTCCTAAAGTTCAAATTGTTGGATCAGAAATCAAGCCTTCGGCTAATTCTTTCTTGATCAGTCACCAGCTTTTTGGAGCGGTGGAGCTGCAGATTGACATATCTCTGATTTGGATGTGGGTTCACTCGTGGAGCTGAGTGTTCCCAGGCAGCAACTGGGTCTTATTAGCAATTGCCTTGGTAATTGGGTTTGGTGAGGGTGATCGTTCTGTAGGAACTGCTCAGACTGTGTTCCAATCCAGGCAGACTGCCTTTGAAAGTCTTTGCTACTCATTTCATGGCTATGGAATGAATTTTTAATCCAATTCCTGATAGGTGCTACAGATCTGTAATTTAATGTTAATTTGTGAACTGAGAGAGGTCAGAGGGTTGGCTAATATACCCTGGGCTACCATGACTGTGTTCGTCTGCGAATGGAGAAGATGACAAACAGCATTTGGGCTGTGATTGTATGTTTCTCATCTACCCGAGAGAGCAAGGGATCCTGGGTTTAGTGTCTCATCCAAACATGGCACCTCCTTCAGCATGACACCAAAGAAGTGTCAGCCTGGATAATGAGGTTAAATCTCTGGAATGATGCATGAACACACAAGCTGTGACTGAGAATTACCAACTGAGCCAAGAATGGCACATCTCAAAGCTGAAGAAGTCACAGCTCTTCTGATTAGAATTACGCCTCTCTCTGTTGTCAGACCTTTTCACTCATTCCCTACAGTCAGAATTATGGCTTCAGCACCTACAGCCAGAGCTCTCCACAAAACTATAACAAGTAGGAACAGGAGTAGGCTGTTCGGCCCCTCGACCCTGCTCTGCATTCAATAGGATCACAGCTGATCCAACATTCCTCACGTTTACTTTCCTGTGTTTTCCCCGTAACTCTTGATTCCCCGGCTGATCAAGAATCTACCCATCTCAGCCTTAAATATACACGAAGATCTGCCCCACAGCTCTCTACAGAAAGGAGTTACAAAGACTCATATCCATCTGAGAGAAGAAATTCCTCCTCATCTCAATCTTAAATTGGCACCCCTTTATTCTGAGACAATACCCTCTGGTCATAGACTCTCCCATGAGGGGAAACATCCCTCAGTATTTACCTGTCAAACCCCTTAAGAATCCTGTATGTTTTAATGAGATCCCTTCTTTCTTCTAAGTGAGTAGAGTCCCAACCTGTTTGGCATTTGCTCATAAAACAATCCCTTTGTACCAGGGATTATGCCAACGAAACTTCCCTGAACTGCCTCCAAGAAATTATACTTTCCTCTCCTTTTAACCCTGCCAGTCAAAGCCATGCCCTCAATCCCTAAAGTCTAAACTATGCCTTCAACTCATAGTCAGAAATCCTCTTACTGTAAAAGGCTTTGTCCTCTGATCCTGTTATACCTCAGTTCTTACAGATGTAGTACACTACCACACATATAAATGGCTGAAGCACCTACCTTTCACTATGTGGTGAATCTCGGAGAGAGTCTGGAGTGTCTCTGGAATTCCTTACACAGATAAGCATCTCTCGTCGACCCGCCACCCCATTGAGTCGTCCTCGGTGATTGATCGGGCTGGTGTGCCTGCTGGTTTCAATTGACGATGTTACCAGCACAGAGGGGCTGTCTGAGATGACACTTTCTGTTTGGCCCGTACTCCAACTATGGCCAATACAAAAGAGAAACATCTTTAAATCATTTGTTTAATAATGTCTTCATGTCTGTTTCTTTTGAGATGTAGGAGAAGGAAGGGGCTTCAGTGATTACTTTCTAGGGATGACTGGAAGCTGTCTCTGTAGTGCTATTGGCCTGATGTTGCGGTATTTTGTGCGGCCAGCTTATTTGCCTGTTTCATTGTGACTTAGAGCATGAAGCATTGGAGCACAGCAGGCCCAGAATGTTAATCAAAGTAGCATCACCTCTATGTACCAGTGTGTGGGCAGTGAATGATAGTGGGCAAAGGAGAAGGATACAAAATTTCCTTAAAAAATTGACCACCAATGATCTTAGAACAAGAAAGGGGCAATATTCCATTCCAACTTGATGGTTATTGCTCAGGTCCTCAGTTTTAGTCAGAGGGAGCTTAATGCAATTTTTCCATAGCTGATGGCTTTAACTGAGCATTGCTTGTTTGTGTAGATCACCCATTGCCAAGTGTTTGCTGCTTGTTAGGTTGGTGGTCTCAGATCTCTGTGCAACTAAACAAATAGCCAAATCCAATGCAACACTTCAGACTGGACATATCTCATGATTGGTTTGCATTTATAAAGTGGACTAATTGACGCCATGTTCCATTGTGAAATGCTGCACATTAAAGAATGTGACTTTGTTCATTCTTTTCCTCCTTGGCACATGGCAAATGAAATTCAAGTGTGAAGCGGCATCTTTATTGGAAATGAAATTAAGGAAAGCTATTAATGGGAGGTCAAGCCAATATCAAGTGGCTTGCAGTATTGTCAAAGTCAGAATTAGAAAGCAACTAAACAGCGCCTTTAAGTCAAGCAGGGATAGACAATAGGAAACAATCAGACTGCGGTGTTCTGATATCGTTCAGCACACATTTTAAACTCTCACATTTGAGCTAATGTTTGCATCATCACATTTATAATGGCTTATGTTAAGATATCATACTGTAATGTACTAGCCACCCGTGCACCCCCAGCTGACTACGACAACAACTACCCCTCCAGTACCTGTGTAGGGGAGGGAGGAGAGTCAATGTTTTAGACATACAGCTTGCAACATAATAGGGTGAACGTAGGGATTTATAGTGGCAAACATTAAGAGGAATTGTGCACAGGAAATAAGTTTTAATTGACTATAAATGTAATTATATGCTATTTTCACTATACTGTCTATATTTACCTTATCATAACTTGTTTGTTCTAAAAGCTTAGAACTATGGTGGCAGTAAGATAACTTAGTGAGTACGGTTTAACTGAGGGGACAGTGTGGTGGAAGATTTCAGTTCTTCTGGCCTGGTGTCCAGGATCAAATGTGGTAACAAGCCCCAGTTTGATCCCAGTTAAGCTCAGCTTCAGTTCCTGTACATTATCATATATGTATATCTACATGAGGTATACTTTTCACCAGATATCAGAATATGAAGGTGTGATTGGGGCCATCCGTAGCTTTAGCTCTTACCCAGTCTACTCATTTATTCTAACAATCTGATTTTCTGGCCCAAGTCTTCTGTATTATTTGATAAAGCTGAAGGTAATGAGATATGAGTTACAATGTCTTTTATTTAAGTTTAGCATCATCACCCACCACCACACTGTTCATCTCAAAGATTGAAACATGTCTACCATGAGCTTTTCTGAGGGTTTCCAACATAAAAACTTACATAGTATTACATACAAATTACAGCAGTGAAATAGACCATTCAGTCCAATGGTTCTATGTCACTATTTACATTCTAAGCGAGCCTTCTCCTACTGTTCTTCATCTAAACCTACTGGAATGCTCTTATATTCATAGAGACATAGAAAACAAAAGCAGGAGTAGCCCATTTGGCCCTTTGAGTCTGCTCTGACTGATCATCCATCTCAATATCCTGTTCCTGCTTTCTCCCTACTCCCTTCGATCACTGTAGCCCATGAACTATATCTAACTCTCTCTTGAAAACATTCAATGTTTTGGTCTCTATCTCACTCTGTGGCAAGGAATTCCACAGGCTCACCACTCTCTGGATGAAGTATTTTCTCCTCACCTCAGTCCTAAATGACCTACCCCACCCCTTGTCCTTAGACCGTGACCCCAGGTTCCTGACTCCCTGGTCATCGTGAACATCCTTGCTGTATTTAGCCTGTCTAGTCCTGTTGGAATTGTAGGTTTCTATGAGGTCCAACCTCATTCTTCTAAACTCCAATGAATATAGTTCTAACTGTCCAGTTTCTCTTCATTCTTTAGTCCTGCTAACATTGGAATCAGTCTGGTAGACCTTTGTTGCACACCCTCCATAGCCAGAACATGCTTCCTAAGATACTAAGACCAAAACTGCACACAATTCCTTTCTTCCTCTCTCTTATTAAGCTTCTTATTAAATCATTCCATGCAATTTCCTCAACCAGTCCATGTGTGAATGAGTTGCACATTCCCACCATCATCTGAGTAAAGAGGTTTCCCCTAAAATCTTTAGTAGGTGACTATTTTACATTTATGGACACTTGCCTTCCTTTAGTGGGAAACATAATTTAATTTAAAGATTGCTACCAATTCTCCAAGGTTGGTCTAATCAAGGTTCTTTACACCAGCTCTTTGGTTTAAATTCTCTCTCTCTAGGCGTACATCTTTGAGAGGAATCCACTGGAAAATCCATCTATCCTGGCCCAACCTCACGCTCAAGTTTCCAGTATACTCATGTCTGGCTGATCACTCTCTCAAAAGGTAACTAAAGTAAAGTGAGGTGTAGGAACTCTAGGAAGGTGTTCCAAACATTGGCGTTCCCATCCTCTGATTTTCAATGGAATTTGGTTGGTGCAATGCTGGTCCCATACAGGGGTACATACCAAACAAGTTACCACTGGTGGGGAGTGCATGTGGCTAAAATCATGGCCTGGATTCCCTGAGATTTCACCAGAAGTATATTTTTTCATCTTAAGGTTCCTTGATTAAGGATTTTCAACACTATTGTCTACAAATAATTGATGTCTCTATGCATGGTTTGAGCTTCCCCTTATGTTCCTTACAGATCTTTGTTAGTTATACTTGTTCTATGCTGTTTGATCCAAGAATGATGTTTAATTCAGATACCTGTGGCTGGGCGTGTGAGTGACTGTCGTAGAGTGATGGGTTGTCGATGTGTAGTGACTAGTAGAGAACGAGGTTTCTGTTTCCCGCTCAATGACGTGCTCAGTGGATCCAGGGTTTTTCATTATATATTGCTGTAAACAAACAGCCAAGGGTTAGAATCACAGAAGTGTTACGGTGCAGACACAGGCCCCCATTGTGTTGACACTAACTCTCTGAATGAGCATCATAACTTTGTGCCAATCTCCCACACTTCCCCTGTAACCCGGCACCTTATTTCTACTTAAATAAGTATCTAACGCCCCCTTGTTTCGATTGAGCCTGCCTCCACTACATTTCCAGGCAGTGCGTTTCAGACCTGAACTATCCCTCTGTGATATAGTTTCTTTTGTCCCCTCATATTGTGTTTACTTCTTTAATCTATGCCCCCGTCATTTTTAATCCTTTTACAAGTGGGAACAGTTTCTCCCTGTCTGCTCTGTCCCGAGCTCTCGTGATATGGAAGACTTCAATCAAATTTCCTCTTACTCTTATCTACAAGAAAAACAGACCGATAAGAGTTTGTCAACTGGGCCCATCAAACCTACTCCTTCCGCTAACCGTATATCATCAACACAAATGTCAACCAAGAAGTCAATCTTCTGTACCTAGTCCTTAAGTGAGGTTAACTGAACTGTCTATAATGTAGTGATAAATTCGGTATTATCCCTAGGTTAAATGACAGGTGTCCACAGTTGGCAGAATATTCTAGACAAAATTAGAGCTTATTGACACTTTGTAAAAACGGTGTCATTCTTTAGTAAGATGTACTGACTCACTTAGCTTCTGCTTAACATGTTCACTGAATATTAATACACTGAGTGATAAAGAAAATCAGAAGTACAAAACCCACTGATCAAAAGTATGAAAAATATCATTTCTTTTCGCTACATCGTATTTGCATAAAACTGCAGGCAGACTTTCCAATGAATACCAAATATGGAGAGACATTGATTACTGATTGCAAGTTTCTGTTGTTAATAAAGCAAGTGGTTAACAGATTAATTAATCGAGTGGTAAGTACGAAGGTGGGGGTGAAAGCGGGGTGACTTTATGGTGGTAGATCATGGGTGAAAAGTACCATGGGCAATATGGTGGTGGTTAAAAAAAAAGCCAGTTTTGTGTAACAGCACTTCTGAAGATGAGAAAAAGGCAAAAAACTACTGGGGGGGGGGGACAATGGTGCAGCGTCCTTAAAGAGGGAGCATACAGTGTCCAGCAAAATCCTTCAGGCATTTAAAGAGAGGTGGGCACCATGGGGACTAGAGTGTATCATTTCCCCCTTCAGCTACATTTTAATTTCGGTCCCTCCCTCACTTCCTAGCTTTCCCTGGGTGCTCTTGTGGCACAGTGGTAGTGTCCCTACCTCGGACTGAGAGGCTTGGGTTCAAGTCCCACATACTCCAGAGCTGAGTAATAGCATCTCTGAACAGGTTGATTAGGAAAAAAAATCTACCTTACCCTATGTTTGTTGTTGGTGCACTGCCCCTGAAGGGTAGTGCTTGTTAACTGCCACTGTCCAGCTGGTTAATTAGTTAATTTAATGGTGAGCCCCAAAGAAAACATAAAAGGGGGAATAGATTGGACTGGTATGTGGAAGAAGCTATAAGACTGGGTCGTTAATAAACAAAGAAAGATGTCTTAGATTCTGAATTGACATCTGTAAAGAATGACTCAAACAAAGCAGATTTCTCTATTTCTTTGAATTGTATAATGCTCAATATCTTGGCAAAAATATTAACTTAGGAACAATAACTTGGTTTTCATGTTGCTTGACATGTTGAGAAATACATGCAATTGTATGAGGCTTACACTTATAGACTTGTAAATGTGAGTATCTATCAAGTAACTTGTGCCTAATGAACCATTTGGATTGTCATAATGTTGGCCTTGTTATCCTCACTGTCACTACAGACTTTTGTAGCCAATTATATTTAATGGTTCTCTCCTACAATATCATCTCAGTGCTGCCATTAACTTCATATCCATTGAAATAATGAGGTGTCATCTTAAATATGTAATACCAAGTCTTAGGCTCTCAATAAGGGGCTCAGTATGAAGTTTCCATTTGTAAAGATCACATTTTATTTTACTTTACTTTTGATTGTTGACTGAATTGGAAAAAAATTGTTTTTAAAACAAAGGATTGTGGAAGAAGTTGCTGCACTTTTGAAAACAAGTTATTGAAACTGTGTGTGTGGTTCTTACACTGCTGTTTTGTTCAAGCAGTGCAGGAAGCTGTTTCTAGACAGGCTGGCACATGTAGGTGTGAGCAAGGAGCTGATTGGTCTGTACAATTGGGACCAGTTGTGGACACCATTTTTTCATTGGTGCCTGAGTAGCTGAACAGGTTGTGGGTGCGAGCAATACAGGGAGAATCCGTCAGACCTCTGGAAGGGTAGGTGGTGTGTGTGTGCACACCTCTCTTCAGTAATGTACCTGAAGCTAAAAAAAAAGCCACGAATTGCTGTTATTTTGAAGCAATAAGTCAGAGACTTTATAAATACTGAGCCAGTTGCTCTGTGCCTCCTGTGAAGAAGTGAAAGAACCTGAAGGAAAAGATCAGGGAACTGAAGGACTTGGGAAACAAAAGGAACACACCATTGAATCCTGAGGACTGGTGCTATTTGTGTTTATCCATATTTGTGTACAGGGAGTGGACTTTAGAAGGGAGTTAGAGTTTGACCAGTGTTTGTCTTGTGGTTAAAATCAATTTATTTGTAACAAATAGTAGTTCTTGTTAAGTACAGAAACCTGATACATATTTTCTGTTTAAGCCTGGTCTATCAGACAGGCAAACTGGGCACTTTGTGTATTTTGATAAGAATTTTTAACCTTTGTGATGACTCTGGAATTAGACAGGCCTGATTTTCAGCATGCAATCCCAGTGAGGTGTAGCATATTAAAGTACTGGCTCCTGTTGGGAAAAGCTCTACCACTCTGGAGATGGTGTGATGACATCAGCCAGAAGGATGAGGGAAATTTTGACCGGTGCAACGTTGGCCAATTTAAGATATTTCTAAATACGGTTGACGTAAAACTAGTGTGGACAGCTCTGCCTGGTTGAAGATTTATGAGTTAGAGCCACTTAAAGATTCAGTTAGGAAATATGTGGCTACTCTCCAATCTTCAATAAATGCAGCATTGCAATCTTTTATTTCAAGGTTCTAGAATGACATCTGTTACCTACTGCAAAGAACTGGCGCACTTTGAACAGAGATGTTGAAGGAAATAAGATGCCGCAAAAAATGTTGGTCATTACAAAAACTTGCTGTCACTTATACATGTTTGTTCATTTACTTATTGTATTTATCACTGAACACTCACCAAAGAGTAAAGCTATGGCAATGCAATAAAACTCATTAATCAGTTGAGTAGCCCCAACGAGATACATGTGTGAAGTCTTAATAAATTGTGGAGAGGCTGGAAGATGGCTTGGCTCGACAGTACAATTTGACAGCTTGTTTCCAATTTGTAAAAGGTTGTCTGTATGCATTTCTGTCATCGCTTAGAGTCATGGGCAGATATTTTTCTTCCCCCGAACAGTGGGGTTTCTGCTTTGCCAGCTAAAGATTTGGCTGGGGATGTATTCTTGTCGATTTGGACCGTCTTGCTGCTATTTAAGCTCAGCAGGTTGTTAATTAGCAAAGGGTGAGATTCCAGCTCACATCTGAGGGGGAGGTCCCCTTTCAGAGAGCTGCCGGTCAATGAGATGACCAGCAGCCCCAGTGCCTCAGCAGCACCAGGTTTAGGTGGTGGCCGCTGCCGGGACTACAGCTGGTCCCTAATGAAGAGGAGCTAACGGTTTGAAGGCAAATTCATGGGAATTGGTGGGGCCTGGCAGGACGGATTAAGGACAGTGAGGAGGTTTGGATTGAGCTGTGAGGAGGGAGGAAAGGAGACGGTTAAAGACAAGTATGCAGGGACATTTCTGATGGCACAAGAGGTTTCTAAGGGAGGTACTTTTCTTGTGTCAACCTGCATGGCCAAATTTGTGGGGCCATTCAGTTACAGCGGGTCACCTTGTCAAGGGTAAAATATTAACAGGGTTTAGAATGAGAATTCAAACGGTCAATCATTGGCCACTTAAGGGAAGCAATGGCCTACTGGTAGTATCGCTAGGCTATTCATCCAGAAACTCAGCTAACGTCTTGGGGACTCTGGTTCAAATCCCACGATGATTTGAATTCAATAAATAATCTGGAATTAAAAATCTAATGATGACCACGAAACCACTGTCGATTGACAGAAATACCCATCTGGTTCACTAATGTCCTTTAGGGAAATAACCTTACCTGGTCTGGCCTACATGTGACTCCAGACCCACAGCAATGTGGTTGACCCTGAACTGCCCTCTGGGCAATTAGAAATGGACAATGAATGCTGGCCTGGCCACTGACCACCTACATCCCGTGAGTGAATTTAGAAAAAAAAAATCAATGGGTCCAAATGGGGTGCAGGTTCCCTTCTGTTTCACTGCTCTGTATAAAATGGATAAAATGGAGACAGGTTGGGACTGAGTGGGTGGTGGGCAGAGGGTAGGCCACGTGCCGCATTTGATGAGTCCCTCACTATCTTCAAACCCTCTTACTTGATTCAAAAATTTCAACCTCAATTTATCTGCTGATCGTATAATGTCGACATGGTAACACACCAGTGCTATTAGTCTTACACTGCAGCTTAAACATTCATCAATTTGTGGCAAAGAGATACTCCAGGAGATCAAATTCTCCACAACTTGTAGGACGATTAAATTTTAACTTAATTTTAACTTGCCTCCTTTTTTCCTCTCTCTTTTAGTTCCTACCCTTTCCATCTCTGATTTGAATATAATTAAGGCCAGTTCCATTTCCATTGTTCTTTCTGTTTCTTTATAAACTCTTTTGATACCTTGGGCAAGAAGACAGGCCCCTGAGCCCAATGTTCATGACATTTATGCTATCAAATCACATATTCAGTGATGTGCAGTGAAAAAATGATACAACCTGATGGGTGAGGTGAAAAAAATCTAATCCAAGGTGTTTGCCATGATATTACCTATTCAAACAATTTCTGGGCCATTAACCCATATTTTATACATTAACATAATGTTGATACAACTACATTATATCTACTGACACAATGCTGCTAATCCTATATTATATTACACTAATACACCTACTCTATTAATTCTATATTCCATCTACTGACATACAATGCTATACATCCTACATTGTACCAAAATAGTACATTCAACACAATGCTGTCAACCCTGCATCACATCTAATAATTCGTAGCTTTTAATTAGATATTCCTATATGACTATTCCAAATATGGCAATTCTTAACACAATTCTAAATTGTTTCTTGCATTTTTGCTAACTCAACTGTTAATTCTGCAGTGCATCTTAAGTGACATTGATGGCCTCTGCTTAATACAGTGATGCCGATGGTGGTAGTCTGGCTGTTGTACAGCCACTCCCAGTAACACTGCAGCACTTTCACAGAGATTAACTGTTCTTACTACCTCTGTCGTAAGCAACCCCATTCCTTCTGGTCAAAAGCACCCACTCTGGTGGGTCCAGATTGGTGAAGTGGTTGCTGCATCACTTTTTCCCTGCTGAAGAGATTGGGCAAAGTCTAATGACCAGAAATTCAAGTGCCAAAGCTTTGCTCAGGTACAACTGCCTGTGGTTTGAAATCCGCTCGAGAATTTCACTGCACAGACAACAGTGCTAGTGGAACCACATCTACCTGGGGCAGTTCTGTAACACACAGAAGGCATCCCTTAGTCAAACCCCCCAGTGACGCTGCCTGGATATTGGTAAATCTATGTCGCATCTCACAATTGCACCGAGACAAAGTGGTTAACACCAGATCGCACGTCAATATCAACTTACATTTGCCAATTGGACATTTTCTGCCGGATGATTTGTGTGGTGGGGTCCATTCACAAGGTTTACCATGTTGTTTCTCTCAGTGCGGAGACTCTGTCTGAGCCGATCGTGAAGTTTTTTCCGCTGTTTTCTGGGTGGCGGTAGCAAATGCAATCAGAGACAAAAACAATCAGCAATTGTTAGACGTCGAGTTCTGTACAGTAGGAGGACTAAAACTCAAGCTATGAAGTTGTGACACTCGTTTTCTTCAGTGTCAGCGTAGCATGCAACCTGAATGCCCAGCCCTTTACATAGGGCTCTGACAGAATCCTTCCTCTGCTTCCTATCCAAACCAAGTGTTTCTAAAAATAAATATAGGAAAAGAACCAACTGAATGAAGGGTTGTACTGACTAAAAAGTTTTTGCTGTTTGCAGCCAGGTCTACATGGCACAGATTGTGGGACATATTTATAAAATAAATTGTTAAAACCATATACTAAGGATAGAAATACTAGGAATTACATAAAACGTACAGTACAGGAACAGGCCATTTGGCCCAACTGGTCTATACTGTCATTTAGATAGTTCCTGGCACGCATTTCTTTCTCTGTAAACTGGAGGGGCTGACTGGAGTACTCCTGCTCTATGTTACTAACTACTCCCTGGGACAAAATGTTACTCCTTAATTCTTTACTGAATTCATCAGTGACTATCTGACATTTGTGTCTACTAAGCTTTAGACTCTACCACATTGTGAAACATCTTCCATTTGCTTAAAAGCTTTCTTTTTCTCCCCGCAAGTAAATGTTGTGCTTTTAGGTTTAAATATGAATATTCAACAGCAAAGATTTGAAGGAATGTGCTTAGTGACGTTTATATTTGGGGAAAGTTGACCATGTTCATGATTTTCAGAGCAGATATCCACCTACCACATCCTTGGATCTCTGGCTCACAGGAGCTTTAAGTCATGCAGCCTGACTACGTGATCTTCATAGTGTCCATCAATGTCTCCTGGAATCTCTGCTGTTTTTTATTCTAGCGCTGTAGGGTGGAGTGTAACCTCTACACCAGGTGTCTCCAAGTACAATTCTATCCTTTTATGTCAACATATCTGAGCCCGTGTAACCTTTGATGATATAACAGGCTGTTGACATTATCAATCCAATATGACACAAAAATAGAGATATAATTCTTTATTTTTACAGTTTTACCAAAACAAATACTCTTACTCATTTTGTTTTGACAGAAACGTATGTGAATTTGGAGGGGAACAGAGTAAACAGCAGCGTTTTTTGTTTGTGTTTATTTTTATTTGAAACATTAAACCTGTAATTCTGTGAAATGCCAAAGATGTTGAAACATGTGGGTTCTTTCAAACAGAAGACATTGGGGCAGGAACAAAGAGCGCTTGTTGACTCATCAGGTTATCCCTCTCTGCCAGCGTACAGAGAGCGAGGTGCAAATCGCAAAGGCAAAGACAAAAATGAGTCAGGGCTTTCTGGAGTGGGCGACAAAGCAGCATGTCAAATTATGTGGGATTGAAACTAGTGGGTCGGGCTGGGTGGAGATGAGACTGGATACTGAGTGGGACGAAGGGTTTAAATGAAATAATGTATGCTGGGCAGTGTCGCTTTAATAAACAATGAAGTCGAATTAGCTTTCTTGTGGCCTTTATATTTCGATCGCTGTGTAACCTTGGTGCCTTGGGTGCTGGTTTACACCTTATAGGTGAAATTTAAATTTGTCAAAAATAGCAAATGGGAGTTAGATTCTCTTCATACCACCTGACCAATATTCCTTTCCATGGCCTTTAATAAGTGGCCAATCCACTAACATCCATTTTGTGCCTTTGCACATCTTTATCAAATGTATTCTCCCTGTGTCCTTTGTGATTTTGGGCCATGAACTGGGGAATAGAAAGCATCTGGGTACAATGAACACGTGACATGTTCCTGGGTTTCTGCTCATCTCACTCTTTAACGCTACCTCCTTTGGTGAAGCCCATGATAGCTCTCTGTCCCAGTTTCCTTTCCTTTCAAGAAAACATTTAGTTGTGTGCTTAGCTAAAGAACGAATGCCTGAGCTAGGGAAGGAAACACAATCTCACTTATGGCACACACAGAAAATACTGGAGCAGTGGGCCTGACAAACCTGCTAAGTTTTGCCAGCATTCTTGGTGTTTGTTTCAGATTTCCAGCATCCACTGTACTTCGCTTTTGCTCACTCGGAGCACCGCAGCTTCAAGATTTGAGGTCAACTACGGCACAACTATTCATGTAGTACAGTTCCCTCTACTTCCCAAAGAATTTGTATTAGCCCAATCACTGAAAAAAATCCATGTAAAAATTTCTTTTCTCAAAATAGTCGCTGTTATTTGGAATCTTCAATGGATGCACGGCATCAATTATTTTTGATCTTAGGGCTCATCTTTACTAAGAACTGGGCTCAGATTGTCCAAAATCCTTTCACTTAATTAAGACTTATTCAGTAAAACAAAAAGAGAGAATATGGTCTGGGTTTCAGTTTGGATCCTGTCATTAGAAGAGTCAGCTGTGCTATCAAACTTCATCACCTCGTCTCTGATTTGCTTTGAACTGAGTTACATGTTGACCTTAGACTTTTAACAAGAGATTCCATCCAAACCTATCAAACCTATGGGACCATTATTTTTGCTTTGTCATTCCCAAGTATCATCAGGTGCAAAGGGTGACTTTAAAGAGAACCAATTTTCAAGCACAAAGAGAATTCACTCGCGGGGAGGAAACAGAAAATTAGTGTCAACTGGATTTGAGACAATGAAACTTTGGATTACTTTGTTTTGCAATATGCCACCACACACATGATGCCAACCACGAGGAGGGCAATACAGATCCCTGTTATCGTCAGCACTCGCTTCTGGTACAGCTCCTCAGCTTCTGAAGAGAGAAGCAAAAAAACAGCAGGTTATAGCCTGAGATTTGCTGTGCAGCCAATGTGCCATGAAAATGTAATATTTAGCTGTTATGATGGGCAGAAATTGCTTGTGCAGTTTCCATTTTCCACCTGCTTTGTGCTCTCCAAGGCAATTAAAACGCACAAAATGGAAGCTCACCGCAATTTTCTTTTTTTGAAAAAGGCAATTTGCGGCTTCTGCAAATCATTCTGTTCCATTTCTGTGTTTTTTTTTGTGATTTATTCTATAAGAATAGAATCATTCTTATATTTTGGAACCCTTCTTGTAATTGCAGTTGTGAGTCTGCACTGATGACCCACAAATACTGATGGCCAAAAATGAACATGAGAGGACACATGTTGAGTCCTGTCAAGTACCAGGTACTTCAGATGACAAAAGTGTAATGTGTTATCAGATTAGTCTGTCTTTTAAAATTGAGCACATTGAAATACATGCCAAATCTTCACACATGTCATTCCAAGCATTTTCATGTAACAGTTTCCTGAGCCATTCCAAATCAGGAATGTGCCCTTGTTTCCATTTTATTCAAGCCTTCTACTCCAGAAAAGCTTAAATCCAATTGATAAAAAGCTAAAAAAATTATGTAAGCCGAACATTGCCTTTTTGAAATCTTGCAGTCTAATGTTAAAGAAAAATCTTGACGATTATACATAAAACTTGAGTTAAATTGTTATTGGGTGATCACTCATTGATGTTTCCTGCAGTATAATTCAATATTCTTACAGTCAATTTGTTGTTCCATCTTCTATTAAATATGTAAATGCTGGAAATTTGCAAAAATGTTTGATCAGATTACTCATTCTTTCTCACCTCCTCCATGGCAGTTGGTAACGAAACAGTCTCTTTAGAACTTCAGTGAGAAATTTCCCCCACTTCTTTTCCTCTCCCATCCTACCAACTTGAGCCCACATCACTGACAGAGAAACATCACTGAGTAAAGCACCTTTGAGGTAAATGTCAGAATAGAGGCCAGCTGACAGGACCAGTTTTATTCTTACAAACATCTCTCATTAAAATGATTCATTGTGGAAAATCAGTACAAAAATCTGAAGTTTCCCCAAAGCCTGATTTTAATTTCATTTCGGAACAAGAGGTGGGTATGCAGTATCGGCTGGATTTACTGGGAGATCAGATGCACAACATTCAGGCAAACAAAACAGCATCAATCACGGGTAGAGGCAGATCGTAGAACAAAACGGCGACGATTGGCAGGCATTTTAGATGTTCAGGCACACAGACGGGTGTGTGCGTGTGTTGCAAGGCTGACCTTCAGAAAGATCAGCCAAGGTTTAGTCCAGTTCTTTGCAGCCTCTTGCACGCACAACATTAACTTTTCTGGATTTGCCGGGTTTGTTCTGATGTATCATTTCATTCTGACTATAGACATCATTTGGTCAGTTTGAAAAGGGATAGAAAGCAAGGCTGCAAAGTGCATCACAAAAAGAAACCTGACTAAAATCTAAGCATATTTTTCACAGAGTAGAAGGACTTTGCAAATACTTCAAATTCTTCCTGATTTCCACTTATACAAAGTGATAACATTTTTCTTTCAACAATTGGCTGTGTTTCTTGTTGACATTAACATGGTTTGTCTCTTTTCCTGTACAGCTGGCCAATAGCCATCCTGCTATTTACAATAACAACATGAGACGTCACAACAGATGGTCAACACCAAGTCCATACAAGACCAAACATCAATTCAACTGGACTTGTTCAGGAGAACGCTAAAGCAGCGAGTGATATTTTTTCTAAAAAAAAGAAGGAAAAGGATGCCAGTAGGGTAGAGATTTTGATTTTAAAAAGTAGTTTCAGGTTAAGAAGTCAACTGTGGGCCTGGCATAGCATGCTTGATAGTGGAAAATAAAGTACAGAAACATTTGGAAGAGAGTGACTGAAGCAAAACATGAAGGGATGTCCCACACAACATAACCACCAACTGACTGAACCAGCTCAAAAATAAATCATGAGTTATTTCGGTACCTTTAATATGATTACGTATTTAACAATGAAGATAAAAATGAAGGTAATTTTAATCAAATCAGAGTTCAGTCTGTTTTAAGTTTGTGCTTGCTTCCTTTACCACTGGACTTAGTGTCGCTTCACGAGATTCACTAAGCATTCTGCCACCACCAAAGACTGTATTTAAAATGTTATCACTTCAAACACAACCTTTTTTAACAAGTGGATTGTACTATTTGCTGAGGCCTTCTGAACTTGAAGGCTTCTTTACAAAAGGGGAAGGAATCTGTATCATTAAATCTGTTGGTTTTCCATTGTCTGCACGCAGTTCCAGATTTTTGGGGATTATTTGGAAGCCAGTGTGTTGTTGGCCTTGTCATATACATCAATCAGCTAGAAATGCTCAAGGCTGATTCATCTGGGAACACGGTGTTCCTCCTTTAACACCAAAATGGGAATCCACAAGAGGATTGCCATCATACACTGGGGCTTGCTACAACTCAAAAAGGAATAATTACCAAACCTCAGGATTAGGAACCGTGTGCCGATCAACGGGAGTACATGTCATTTAATAGCGACATTGTTTCATTTCCAAAGTGGAATTAAATTAGCCCAAGTAAGTGACAGTAAACATTTTAATTTAAGGTTAAATCACATAGGGAAGGGTGGTTCAGGAGGGACAGTTCAATAGTGTTGGGTAGAATGATTTGTTTGAACTCTTCAGAGCATTAGTCACTTGATCAACTTGCCAAAAACAGAGATTCAAATAAATGAAAGACCTCTCTGTCTCAAAAATCTGGTCATTTAATGAAGATCACTTTCTTTTATTGCAATCTTCAGCCAGAAATATCATTTATATTTTATAAGAACATTTATTAATCCTACAAATTGAGCCCATTCCAACTTGTAGCATTCCAACTTGTAGCATTATTAGATTGCTCTCAATGGCAAGTCACAAGCTGTAATCTTCGATTTTGAGGCTTTTATCATTCAGCTTATTTGTTCTCGATTTAAGCAGTTTGAAATGCCAGTTCAATTGCCAGGCATGCACAGAATGCCAAAAAGCATCTAACCAAAGGGAAAATGAGAGGTTTATAATTCAAATGGCAGATTGTAGGGCTCTTTTGACTTGATCATGTTGGAAGTTGGTATTGTGAACGCAAATTTGAACAAAGCCAACAGATTTTGTAATCTGAATGTAAAATCAATGTTAAGATTATTTTGGACCACCATACCTGCTCCTTTAGAATCCAGACCTTTACAGTTTGTGACGCTGAAGAATGCAAATTGAGGAAATTGGCAGAAATATTTACAGTGAATCTGAGAGAGAGAATTTGACGGTCACTCACTGAGGAGACCTTTCTCCTTTGTTAACTGGCAATTGCCTTTCATGTATTCAAATTAAAATATGTCTTGAATTTAATAAAGTAATGCACTTGGAGTAATCATCCCACAGCATAAAGCTAGTCTGGTACTTAACAATCAATGGATTGACACTGTGGCGATCTTTTGACAGGTATTTGGTTTGAATTGCTTTAAAAAGTAGGCTGAAATGAAGGAGATGGAGGTCAAATCCAAACCTAGACAGTAACAGAGTTGACATTACAGATCAGCCATGGTCTCATTGAATGGTACAGCAGGCTAGAAAGGGGCTAAATGGCTTGTTTCCATTCTACAAGTCAAGTCTCCATGGCTGAGGTGAAAGATCTATTCCCGTTTAATTTTCTACTTGCTACGCACAGGAAGTGTGGCCAAGTGGCAGACAGGCTGTTATGGCTGGATCATCCCTTCCAAAAGCAACAAGGGTAGGGAAGGGAGAGAAACTGATTTAGGATTTGAAGGTAGATCAGAGCTGTCAGGTTTTATTCTGCAGATTAAAAGGAATGATTTGTCCATACCCATAAATTCAATTCCAAGATGCTCTGCCAATGCAGAAAGTTGACAAAAAAAGAAAGAAAAAAAAGGGAAAAAAAGTTTCAGAGAAGAGCAGTACATCATACTGGGGAAAAGAAATCACACGAGTAACACGATTAGCCTTGTGCTTGCACACAGGAGACAATGATGAGTGGCAACATTCCAGAAGAGACTGTGCTCATAGAAGCTGCTTAATCCTGTTGCAAAGTGCATGCTTTCCAAAGAGAGAGAGAACACAGCTATACAAGCACTGGTTTGGGGGGGGGTGGAAGGAAAAAAAAAAACAGCAAGTTTGAAAATACAGTCAGAGAAATTCAATTACACAAGTAAAATACAAGTAAACTTTCTGGTAATGATGCAAGAACAACATTGGGAAATTAACCTGATTAGTTTCGTTTTGAAGCATTGAGGTTCTCTCTCATTTTGTGAGGTAGATTAGTGCCTTTCATAGTTTATCGGAACTTCACAGTTTGTCGGATGGATATCCGACTTTGTTCCAATGGGTGCAAGCCCAGTAAAAATATTTTGAGAACTTATATTTGTGCCCATAGCACCGAACTGTCAATAGCAGGGAAATTTTAAGGATTGGGATTTATGACTTGGGGGGGTAGAATGTGCGGTGCAGCCCAATATTTATTTTCACAGAATTCCATCAAAAAGGTTTTACAATTTATTTTTTCCCCCAAATCAAAGGACATCATCTGCCCTCAGTCCAAATGAAGGAGGCTTGCATGAAGGATGTCAAATGAAGCTTTAAATTCAGCTTGTTTGTACATTTTGGCACATGGCCATTATGTTATTTAAATACAGCATCCTGAAAATTTTGCTTGGTTGATGGATTGTCAGGAAGCGAACTCACTAGCCTGACATGACATTTTCCAAATGCATTGAATTCAGATAACGTCAAAAAATGGCACGGTATAAAAAGGTGTTCAACCTCATGACTTTCAATTTAAAAATCAACCTTCTTGGTCATTAATGCCCTTCAAAACAGTTACTCTATTGTATTGAGAGAAAAAAAGACCACTGCACAAAAATGGGCGAGTTCAATTCGCTTGCCTAATTTTTGCCTTGAAGGATAAATGCAAAGAATTAGACTTTAGTTTCCTCAAGTGATACTGCAGTCCTGCATGAGCACCACTACCAACATACATTAGTTACATTGGAAAGAGAAACAAAGCAAGTATTAAATAGCGAGCATGCTACAGCTGGCACACTGCTACATTGATATCTCAGATTTACACTTAGACAAGAGTTAGGTGGAACTACAATCATGGAAGAGGAAAAATTCATTCAGGTTAGGGTCATCAAAAATGGGGCAAAGTATAATAATTGCATGAATATTAGAAGGGGTATTACAATATTAAAGGAAACATGCACACAGCACAGGAATGTATAGATTCAACATGCATCAATCATTCCATCTGAACTCTTCCCTGTACACCACCAAACCACATCATTCCACTAACTTAACAGATACAGACATTTGCGCTAAAGAACTGGCTACAGCTATTAAAGTTATCTGGTTACTGTCAGGCTACCACTTAAAATATTTTCAATCTTGTAAACTTCTAGAAAATTGGCTTTCTAAATCTAATAGGAATGCAGCACACTAGTAACAATACCAGTACAATTCAGTTTGGGTTCAATTTTCTCCTAATCTTACAAACAAAATACAGAAAAACAATTAATTGCCTATTTCAAGCATTAGCTGACCTAGCAGGACAATCTGGCAATGATAAAGAATGCTAAACTATTTGCTAAAATGGATACTTTGAAGGAGATTTCTGCTTCTGGATTGTCCACACCTCCACTCTTGGGAAGCACATTATTACTGACATTTATACTGAATACAATTTATCCAATCCACATTTGTCACCTATTTCAAAAAACATCAACAGACATTATTATTGTGTAAAACCTTCCAACACCCCCACAGTGTGGAACTACTAAATAGTACGGCAATTGGGTGTTTCTAGAAAAATGTCACAACTTTGTCAAAGTTTTTCACGCTCCACTCATGAGGACATTTAGCAAGAATAGCAAATCAAGGGAAAAACCAAAGCTTATACTGCATGGGAGGAGAAAGCTGATCGGTTGACAAATGGACGCTGATTGGCAGGTGTATTGTGATGTGACATGATGATTGATAGTTACCAGCCCAGCTTTTTTGAAACTTTAAAACCAGGCAGGTTGATTCTGATTGGTCAGGACATGGCCCTGACAAATCAACCAGCAAATGGCTGTTACTAATTTTGTTGAATTGAAGCAGGCACAGTGCATGCTCTAGATTTTACAGTCTGCAAATAATTAGATTCCAGTACATCACACTGCAAGCCCGATTGTTTGGCAGCAAAACTCCTCACACTTTCAGGATAATTCAATAAATATTGTCTGATTGCACAATCACAACTAATGCTGGACGCTGTCTTGCAAATTTTGAGCTTATTGACAACTTTGTAAAACAGGGCCTGTGCAAACTTGAAGCGAAACAGGGTGCAATAAAGCCGTTTTGGCTGATAATGTCAACCGTGACCAGTTCATTTCTTGCTATATATCAGACAAACTGCTGAAAGGGTAAGGCACCTCACAGGTTTGGGCAACAGGTAATGCTAGCTGTTCCATACAGTGCTCACTACTAACAGGATGCTGCCTTCAAGCCAAAAAGACATTCTGCCCATCATAAATGAGTGAGTAATGTAGTATATGGATTTCAGAGCCACCACAGTAAGTAGAAAGTACATCATAAAGTTGGGCAGACCATAGCAAACAACATAGCCCTTTGGCACTTAAATTAAAAAAATACTATGGATGCTGGAAAGAAACAACCAAAAACAGAAAATGTTGGAGAAACTGAACAGGTCCTGCAGCATTTTGCAGCAACAGGTTTGGTATCATCTGTGGAGAAACATTTCGAGCCAAGTCAGTGTAGAGCTGGTTGAACACAGCAGGCCAAGCAGCATCATAGGAGCAGGAAGGCTGACGTTTTGGGCCTAGACCCTTCTTCAGAAATACCCCTCCCCCATTTCTGAAGAAGGGTCTAGGACCGAAACGTGAGCCTTCCTGCTCCTATGATGCTGTTTGGCCTGCTGTGTTCATCCAGCTCTACACCGTGTTATCTCAGATTCTCCAGCATCTGCAGTTCCTACTATCTTGAGTCAAGTCACATTTCTTCACAACAGATCAGTAGAAGGATCACTGGACTCAAGGTTAACTTTGCTTTCTCTCCAAAGATCCTGCAGGACCTGTTGAGTTTCTCCAGCAGTTTCTGTTTTTGTTTATATCTCTTTGGCTATTTGCAACAAGCAAGATAGTGACCAAACCCAAACTGCTTACACTTGTAAACTCAGTCAAAAGGTGGTGGCAGATCTACATTCAGTGGCTGTCTACAGAGAGACGCTATAATGTCACACTTGAAAAGTTGTCAAAAAAATCTTCAAAGGGGTATAATTAAAAGGAAGAAAAACACTACAAACTAAACTGTAATCTCCTGGGAGTTATCCCAGGCTGTGAACATGATAGGAGAAATAACAGCAGTCTGGAGAAGGGACATGATAAGTGTCTTCCTTTTTCAAGTCTGTACAAGAACAGCAGTTACAAAACAGTTGAACTTGGTCTGTGCATGCTGGTGGATAAAAGGTGCTCAAGTGAGTTGAGGTACTCAGGTACTAGATTGGATTTAATCACTGATGTAAGTGAAGGTCACTGTCAAAGCACCACCCTCTAGTTACCCCTGCATTACAATTAAAGAACTCTCTTACTCGGATTGCGAGAATCTAGCAAGCCAGTTAACAGGAAGTAGAACAAGAAGGACTCTCACTCTGAGCGCTGCTAGCCAACCACCATCAAAAGAAAATAGGACAAAAGGATCTCAACTAACCTACAAAACCAACAATCCCAAAATTCAACATTCAGCTATCAACATTTCATTATCTACTCCTCATGAATGACAATGCATACTGACCTACACATCCTTTAATTTATATCCTTTGTGACCTTACACCTGCCTGTGTGTGTGTTGTGTTATTATTACTTCTCACGTTTTATAAGTCATAAACTGACTCTTTTGTTAACTCAAGAAAGGCTGTTCAAATTGGCTTCTTCTAAAACAAATTCATTCTGGTCTGGGAGAAAGCTATCGGTAATGGAGGGGATGCACTGTAAATTGATCTTGTTGCCACTGACTGAGGGGGCAGGTGAATAAAGAGAAGGAACCAGGTCATTTCCCCTCACCTGGGAGCCTGACAATTTGGGACATCCTGTCTGGAACGATAACCATTTGCCCAGGGTGTGTTCGTAACAAAAATTTTGAACCATGTATGTAAGGAGTGTATTGATGTTCAGGAAAAGGCATACCACACAGGGAGGCAAGGCCATGTTTTTTTTTCAAATATTGTCCTTAAAAGTTGTTCTGTTTTCATCTTAAATTCTTTCACAGGATGTGACCATCACTGGTTAGGCTAGCATTTGTTGCTCATTCCGAACTGCCCCAGAGTGCAGTTAAGAGTCAACCACATTGCAATGGGTCCAGAGTCACTTGTAGACCAGACCAGGTAAGGATGAAGATTTCATTCCCTGAAGGACATTAGTGAACCAGATGGGTTTTTGTGATAATTAACAATGGTTTCACGATCATCATTACATTCTTAATTCCTGACTTTTTTTTTAAAATTGGATCTACATTCCAAAATCTACAGTGGCAGGATTCAATCCTAGGCACCCAGTCTCTGGATTAATAGTCTAGTGACCAGACCATATCCTCCTCTACTTTTATGATAGGAACAGTCCATGGAAAATTTGTTGCACAGTAATGAGAACCTCCCACCAATAGTGGTGCTCAAGGAATGGATTTAATGCAGCCAGTCATAGGAGGAAATATGGTGCTGAGCCAATTTAATTGGCAGAGAGGCCCCATGTCAGTCTCCTGGTAGTAGCAAAATCTCTCCAGATTAACACAGGGACAAAGAGGCTGCTGCAGGATTCCAGTCCAATGGCAATGGGATATCAA